AAGTTTTGTTTTTTAATGCTTAAAAATAAAACCGCCAGTTATTTTTCCAGCAAAACTGGGTTCATTAGGGAGCAGCAGATATGTGCACTGTGGGACAAGCAGATAGTCACCTCCGCAGAACAGAAGAAGAGAGCCTCTTTTTTTTTTTTAAGATTTTATTTATTTATTTGACAGAGAAAGGCACAGCGAGAGAGGGAACACAAGCAGGGGGAGTGGGAGAGGGAGAAGCAGGCTTCCCACAGAGCAGGGAGCCGGATGCGGGGCTCAATCCCAGGACCCGGGGTTGTAGCCAAAGGCAGACGCTTAATGACTGAGCCACAGGGCGCCCAAGGGAGGCTCTTTTGTAGAAAGGGCAGGGGTGGGAGGAAGAGCGGTTGTCAACTGAAAGCTCATTGGAGTGAAGTGGGAGCTGGAAGTCTAGGGCTTCCCATGGCTGAGCTCTGGCATCTCTCACCAGCCGGGGAGGAGGAAACTGGGCTTCCTAGCCGGGTCGTAGTAGCCGCCTGCAAGGTGTGGCTCTCCCTGTCGGGCCTGCAGCGGAGGAGTGGTTGGGGTGAGAGCCGCCCCTGCTGGCCTCCAGACTCCAGCTCAGTGAGGCCCCTTTTACTCATGTCCCTGTGTCTGAAGATCTGCCACCATACCCGCCAGGCATCCCAGTGGGACCTCTCCAGGACGCGGGTCCCCTGCTCTGATGCGCGAGAGGCGCCCTACTGCCAGGAGGACCTCGGCAGCCCACGAAGCCTGGGGCGCGACCCAGCCCATAACCCGGCGAGGGGGCCCCACTCACCCTTGGGCTTCCCCGCTGCCATGCTGGACTTACGGACCCTCCTCCAAGTGTGGACCCCCATGTCGAGCTCAGCCATTGGTGTCCTTCTGTCCAGACCCCCAGGGCTTGCACACACACACACGCACACACACACGCACTCCTTTCCCCTGCAGTGGGGTGGACAGTCCCGGGGGCAAACTTGAGTGGAAGTTGGTACTTTGGAGACCTGTTCCTTCCCTAGTCCCCCAGAAAGCAGCGCGCATGCTCGCGGCCGCTTTACCCATGTCATCTTCTTTCGATTCGGGACACAAAGAGATCCTTCATTCCTTTACACGGCTGCGGGGCACCCCTGCAAAATGACAGCACCGTGTGCCGGCCCCGCGCGGCTTTTCCCAAGGGAGCCCCAGTGTAAGGCAGCGGAGCCCCAGACTCCTGGCGGGCCGACCAAGGAACCCCTCAGCAGGGGCACGGGGTGGGGAAGGGCCTCTGGGAGGCAGCGCCCCAGGCAGAGAGGGTGCGGCGGGGTCGGCGGGGTGCGTGTCTGGGAGGGAGCAGCGGCCTCCCGACGCCCTGACCTGCGCGTGCACTTGGGACCCCGAGTTAGCGGCAGTTTAATGAGACACGTGGGTGCAGAATTGCAGAAGGAGAGGGACCGATGCGACACAGCCATGCCGCCCGTGCCAGCAAGCCCGCTCCTGAGTGCACGTCCGCAGGACGTGACGGCAGGGGCTTGAAGAGACACTCGGGGTCGCTGCGGCCAGAGCACGCTGTCCCTGCGCCCGTCCATGGGCGAGCGGAGAAGCAGCGCAGCGGATCCGCAGCAGGGAACGCCATGGAGATGTGCCACATGGAGGAAGACATGGAGATGTGTCACACACGTGTCACACGTGCGTGCGCCCCAAGGCATGTGTGAGTGAAGTAAGCCAGTCACAAGAGGACACAACGGGGTTTCACTTCTGCGAGGTCCCCAGGGCCTTCCGGTTCAGAGACAGCAGGTGGAAAGGTGGTGCCAGGGGCTGGGGGAGGGGAGCTAGTGTTTCAGGGGCAAGACGGAAAGTTCTGGAGGTGGATGGTGGGGAAGGCAGCACAACCAAGGCGCTGACCCCGTGGGGAGGGGGGGACTTGGAGGGGCCAGATACCAGGGACCCTCGGTCACCCTCCACCATGGGGCTTCCGTGGAAAGGGAGGCTAAGACTCTCCAGGGTTGATGTGGATGGAACCAAAGGTGTCCAAGGACTAGGGAAAATGAAGGCCACAGGTGCCTGGGGTGCGGCAGTGCGGGGGGCAGGGGGAGGCAGGCTGACTGACCAAAAGAACGAGGCGCACCTCAAGCCCAAAGGGACGAATGGATGAGCTCCTAAGACCTTGAGCTTCCTCACAGGCTCCTGGTGTGACTGGGGGTGCAGGGCATGTGCCCTCCAGCACCACCCGGAGCTCCCAGTGGCCAGCCCCGCCCCACCATGTCTGCTAGTTTCTCAGTGCTGGGTTGCAGGGGAGAATGGGGCTTGTGTCCCCTGGCAAACCCCGGAACAGCCTGCCTGGGCAGGAGAGCAGCTTGGAGAGAGAGAATCCAGGGAGACTCCTCAGGGCCCCCTGCCCACTGGGGTGACAGGGTCCAGACTCTGCTGTAAGAGGGAAGCCCCTTCCTCTGCTCCCAGAGAGTGTCGGCTGCAGAGAGGGTGGGGGAGAGCCCGACCCGGGAGACACATGTGAGGACCAGCGTGGCTACAGCCCACCTCTGTCCCCCAAAACCCCATCCCCCTAGGCCTGTGGGCTGCAGGTGGGGATAGACACCCTTCCTGTCCCCACAGACACCAGACCTTTGCCCCTCAGTCAGAAACACCGCTCACGGGGAGCCTGGGTGGCTCAGCGGGTTAAAGCCTCTGCCTTCGGCTCAGGTCATGATCCTGGGTCCTGGGATCGAGCCCCGCATCGGGCTCTCTGCTCAGCGGAGGCCTGCTTCCTCCTCTCTCTCTGCCGGCCTCTCTGCCTATTTGTGATCTCTGTCTGTCAAATAAACAAATAAAATCTTAAAAAAAAAAAAAAAAGAAAGAAACACCACTCACCTTTCCCCAGGTCTGGATCTGGGTGACTGCAGAAGCCCACATGGGGAGGATGAGGGGGCACAGAATAGGGACTCAGGGCCAGGGCCAGAGCAGCAAGGCTCCCCAGGGAAAGCCGTGCCCTGCCCCACGCCCACCATGTCCTCCTCTGCCAGAGCAACAGCAAACATGGATGGCCGGGATGCCCTGTCCCCGTCTGGCATGAGGTCTGAGCCCAAGTCTGCTCCTGCCAGGAAAAACAAGGTGACCCACTAGGTTCACTTGGCTGGAAGGAGGCCACCGGAACTCCAGACCAGCCACGTCCACAGGGCCACCCACTGGAGCCAGCCGGGCCCACCCGGGCGGCACAGGCAAGACCGGGTCCATGCTGTGCAGGGGTCTGCGGGCCGGGAGTGGGCGGCACCGGGGCTGCCTCTGGATATGGGTATGGCCAAGGGGGAACGGCTCCGAGCCCAGGGCGCAGGCCATGTAGCATGCAAGCTCTAACGTGGCACTCAGCTGCCCATGGGGCCGCCAGCCCTGAGCCCGGCCCTGGGTGTGTCTAAGGGAGCCAAGTCGCTGTGCTGGGGTTGTAGGAGGCGCCCCTGTCCTGGAAGCCTGGGGTCAGAGAGCCACCACTAACAGGCATGTGTTTGAACCAGAATATCTGAAAAGGCCTGGGTGGGGAGAGGGGCGGGTGCACCCTCCCCTGACCTGAGGGCTGGGGGTCCTGTGGATGCCAGCGGTCTGCCATCAAGGGGTTGGGGCAGGAGGTTGAGCTCCCTCAGCCTCGACAGGCCTCCTGCACACACGTTGGCCCCCAGCCCGGGGCTGGCTGGGCAGCGGCTTCTGCAGGGGCAGGCATGGACGGCTCCCTCCCTGCACGGGGCAGAGGGCACAACGAGCGCCTCCATGGAGGGGAAGGGCGGCCAGCAGGGCTGAAGCTGGGCGGTGGCTCCCGGTCAGTAAGGCAGGGCTCTAACTCCGCTGCTCCCTGGGGCTGCCCAGGAGCTGCGATGTTGCAAGCACTGAAATGAACAGGACTGTTACCATCCTCCAAGGCTTCTCACAGGCAGTTCTGGCCGGGCCTGTGGGGGCGGGGAGCACAGGTGGCAGGGGGACCCCTGCTCCCTAATAGTTCTGGGCCCCCCCCACCCAGGGCCCTCCTGGGAGCAGCTCTGGGCCTGCTGGCAAGTAGGGTCCAGGAATGAAGAGGGTGGGTCCAGGGCCGTGTGCACCTGGCAGATAGACGCTTGATGGAAAGTGACTTTGGCCCTGGTGTGGGGAAGGCCTGGGGGCAGCCTCCCCCGGACAATGAGGGGGCTCTGGGGGAGGCAAGGGTGCATGGCTCCCTAGGAATTGAGGCGGGACAACACCTCTTGCTGGCTGAGACTTCAGAGAAGGGTCGTGGCAGCCAGCCCTGCGGGGACCGAGGCCAGGTGCTGTCCTCAGTGCCGGCAGGCGTCGGCTCGCACTGGCCAAGACATCCTGTGACAACCCCCAGGCCCAGCTGATCTCACCCCTGAGCCACCTCTCACCTCCTCTCCAGGTGGCCCCAGAGAATGTTGGAGGCACCTGCTGACAGGGAGGTGACTCCAGGCACCAAGGCTCGCACATAGCTGGCAGGTTTGCGGCCCGGGCTCCAGGTCAAATCCAGCTCCCTGCCCTGTCCCCACTTTCCCACTGCCCCCAGGAGGGGTAAGGGGCTCTTAGTGCCCCTTCAGGTCTGCGGCCCGCAGAGGAGGAGGGGTACCCCCAGAGAAAGAGCTGGGGGGCTGCCAAGGTGGCTAGAGGGTAGAAGGAGCCAGGAAGGCAGGGCCCAGAGGCTCAGTCACAGGAGGCTTCCCCAGCCTTCCGCCAGCACTGCCCCCAGTGTGGGGCCAGGTTCGCCAGCTTCACTGCTCACGCCAGCAGGCCGGGCCAGCGCGGGGCTGCTCAGGTGGACGAGACGCCCCCCACAGTGACTTCCTGTCCCCCCAGGCCCCTGAAGTCAGGGAGGGAAATGGCCGTCCCTGGCCTGATGCCTGGCACTGGGGCCGGTGTGAGACCCATTGTTTGAGGCTGGAGCCGGGGCGGGGAGGGGAGGCAGGGCTCAGGGGCCTCCAGGAAGCCCCCGAATGCCCTCTGTCCCACTTCCCACAGACTGTGAGCCTGAGCAGGAGCCCGCGAGCAGACCGGCAGCCCCCGGCAGGATGAAGGCGCTCTCAGCTCTCCTGCTGGCCCTCCTGCTGTGCAGGCAGCCAGGTACGAGGCCAGGGGACGCCCTGCAGCAAGAAGGTCTGGGCCACAGGGACCCTCAGGACACCCAGCCTGAGGGCAGGACATGGCACGGGCAGCGCGGGGGTCAGGCTGGAGTCTGAGGCTAGAGGGATGTTGACGTGGGCTGTCCTGGGCTCCCACAGGTCCCCAAACCTGTCCCTCCCTAGCTCCAGAGCCCACCTTTTGAATTGCAAGCTTCGGGGTTACCTCTGCTGTCCCGGCCTCAGTGTCTTCTTCTGTTACACAAGCGGACCGTCCTGAGGGTTTATTGGGGCGGGAGGGGCAGTGGCTACAGGAGGAGCCCCACAGCAGCGGCCGGTGCAGGGAAGCGAGCCGGGCCAGCTGCTGGGGCCCGCAGAAAGGACAGAGTGGGAAGGAAGAGGGCAGAGGAGTGACGGAGGACAGATGTGTGTGGGGGGGACCCAGCCCTGGACCTTGAGCATGTGCGCTCTGTGCCTGGAAGCGGGGCTCACAGGCATCCCTGTGTGGCCAGGCACAGGGCGGGCACAGGACGAGGAGGAGGACGATGAGGACATCGGGCAGGACGGCTACGACGATGAGGAGGAGGACGAGGAGGAGGAGGCCAGTGTGGCTGCAGGCGGCGGGGACAGAGGTGACCGTCCACCCCCACCTGAGGGTGCAGGCACTCTCACTTCCTGTGGGCTCCGCTGACCACCAGGCTTGGTGAGGGACTAGCAGGACGTGGAACAACAAGCACAGCCTTCCAAGGGGCAGGGGAAGGGACGGGAAGGGCCCTGACACTCAGCAGCCCCTTGCCTCTCACCCTGGCTGTGACCCTCGACGGCCACCTAGAGTACGGAGCCTAGAGAAGGAGACACTCCTGGGCAGGGAGGCTGAATAGGAGGTTGCTAGGCAGAGAGGGACGCAGTGGAGTCCCTGCCTGGAGAGACCAGCGAGTGTACAGGCCCTGGGCACGGAGTCCAGCTCAGCCAGACAGGACGGTTTGGGGCTGGTGGGGTGAGGCGGGGCGGGGCTGCACTGGCCAGCCCTGAGGCGGGGTGTGGGGAGGCTGGGCAGGGGCTTTGAGAGGGATCTGCTGGGAACAAAGCACTAGCCTGCAGGGGGAGGAACTGGGCTTGGGGTGGGGGGGCTCTGGGCTGCAGGGGGAGGCCCTTGGCCTGAGCCCGCCTTGCCTCCCAGAGCTGCTGCAGTGCTACTCCTGCCAGTCCCTGCGCAGAGGGGAAGGTTGCGAGCAAATTCAGAACTGCGTCCGCAGCCACAGCTTCTGCAAAACCCTCATCTCCCACGGAAACACCGGTGAGCGGGCCCCAGGGTGACCAGGGCGGGGGCAGCCCCAGCTCGCACGCAGAAAGGCGCACCCCCCTGCCCCGGGTGTCCTCCCTGCCCCAGCCTCTCCAGCCTGACTAAGCCTTTCTCCGCCACCCCTCCCCCCTCCCAGAGTCAGGGCCTCTGACCACCTACTCCGTATGGTGTACAGACACGTGTCGCCCTTTCACCAAGACACTGGAGGGGACCCTGATGACCGTGACCTGCTGCCAGTCCGCCCTCTGCAACCTCCCGCCCTGGCAAGACCCCCCAGGCAGCGGGGCCAGCAGCGCCCAGGGCAGCCGCACCATGGTGGCCATCGCCCTGCTGCTCGGCCTCCTCTCCGGCCTCCAGGCCATGGGGTCCTGAACAGGTCATCCCACCCGCACCCCAGCTCCCACTCTGGATGGCCAGCACTCTGTCCAGTGCCCGACCCACCCGCCCCTCCTCCCAGCCCTGGTTTGGCGAATAAACTCGGAGCATCTTACTGGCCATTCCCAGCCCCGTCTGCATTTCCTCTTTCCTGTCTGTCTGTCTGTCTTGGCCTCCTCCTCTCCCCACTGCCTGTGCCAGCATGTGGGCCCCGGGTCCAGGGCACCGCTGCTCACATGGCGGGTCCACATGGCCTGGGTAGAGAAAACATGCATCCTAGGCCGGGGGGAGACGGCCATGTCCTCTCCCCACCTTCCCATCACTGAAACACCTCCACCCACGACTGTGGCCTGCGTCCTGAGAAGAGAAGTGGGCAGTGGGAGGGGCTAGGGAAGGGAACCCCAGGGTGCCCAGCACCTGTCCTGGCCAGGCTGACCCCACTGGCTGCTGGGGGCTCTCAGCCTTCCTGACTGGTGGCAACACAGAGCCCTGGGGTAGAAGGGAGGAGGCCTGGGTCTGGGCCTCAGTTTCCCCATCAGAGCAGCATGGAACAAGGCTTAGAAGACCCCTCAATCCCCACCAGCTCAACAGCCCCTGGGTAGAGAAGCCCAGAGTCCTACCCTGCTTGTCAAGTAACTCCAGCAGGCGAAGTAGCCTCCGCTGCCTTTTTTCCTTATTTTTTTTTAAAGGGAGTTTATTTATTTATTTATTTATTTATTTATTTATTTATTTGTCAGAGAGAGAGAGAGGGAGAGAGAACAAGCACAGGCAGACAGAATGGTAGGCAGAGGCAGAGGGAGAAGCAGGCTCCCCGCTGAGCAGAGAGCCCGATGCGGGACTCAATCCCAGGACCCTGAGATCATGACCTGAGCTGAAGGCAGCGGCTTAACCCACTGAGCCACCCAGGTGCCCCCTTTTTTCCTTATTAAAGAAAACCTGAAGGCCTACCTGGGGGCGTATCCCTGGGGTAGAGGAGACGTCTTCTTTCTCCTTCCTCCTCCCTGCTGGCTCGAGTGATGCCTGGGGCTCAGCAGCCACTTTGCACCATGAGGCAGCACGGAGGGCAGCAGGGCAGCATGGAGGAAGGGTGCAGAGTTCACTGGTGAACAGGAACCATTACATCAGCCCCACACTGCCTACCTCGGTACCCCTTTCCCTGGGAGGGAAACAAATGGCTATGGGGTTAAAGTGAGTCATTTCTCTGTCATCGCCTCGTCACACACCGTCACACACACGTGCTCCTGCGGGTGCACACATTGTCATGTTACTCCCACCGGTGTACGCACTCGTGGCCGCACACACTCACCCACACAGCCCCTCCCAGGGCAGCAGATAAAAGCAGACCTCGGGGGTCGCCCCATCTGAGTTAAAATGTTAGCTAAGCCCACGCCCCAGCTCCATGACCTGTATGAACGCCACGCCGCACCTGCTCCGTGACCCAGACGATCCCCTGCTCCTGCCGCCCCCACCCCAGCTGGGTTTCCCTGTCTGCTGCGTGGCGAGGGAGGGGCCTCCTGGAAGGACCAGCCTCAGGGAAGGCCGACAAGCGCTATGGGGAAGAGCCCCAGGCCTGAGCCAGTGGTTGGGAGTGGCTGGAGGAGGACCGAGTCCAGTCTGATGCACCAAGGCCGGTCAGGAAGGGACAGTCACCATCAGAAGGAACTGCCGGAATCAGGAGGTGGTCCCAGAGGACGACTCCCTCTCATCCATCGTGGGCAGCAGCCCCTCCCCACACAGTGGGCCAGAGACAGTGTCGCGCTTTCCATCCAGCTCCATCCCTGCCTCCACGGCTCATGACCGCCTGGCACGTGACCACGCACGCAGCGGCTCACACCAGCTCCAACCGGTCACCTGTGGTCCTGAGGCTCAGGCTCTGACATGAAGGGCGACATTCCCTCCCGAGCCTGGGACCGTGCGTTTCCGCGTCAGCCTGACTGGGTCAAGGGAGGCCCAGGGGGTTTCTGGGTGTGTCTGGGAGGGGTTTTCCAGAAGACATTAGCATTTGAGTGCCAAGATGGTCCCTGCCAATGTGGGGGGCCTCACCCCATCCCTGAGCCCCAGATGGAACAAAAAGGCAGAAAGGGCAAATTGATCCTTCTGGAACTGGACCTCCGTCCTCTCCTGCCCTCAGACCCTGGGCCTCCTGGTTCTCAGTTCCCAGACTCCAGTGATTCCCCCCAGCAGCCCCTCTGGGGCTCTAGCTTGCGGGGCCCATAGGGACCTCTCGGTCTCCACAGCCACGTGAGCCAGGCCCTGTGATCGCTCTCACAGACACGGCCGGGCATCAGACGCGTCTCTGGAACTCTGTCCCCTCACCATCGTCTGCCTCAAATCTCCCTCCTCCTCCCTCTTACCAAGGTCTTTGCGGTGACATGGGGCCACCACCCAATGGAGGACAATCTCTTGTCCCAAGACCCTCAACCCCACCACATCGCCCCTTTGCCACATGAGGCCACACATCCCGAGCCGCAGGGATCTGGACGTGGACATCAGCCGGTCCCTATGGAGTAGCGCCCACCACCCAACCTCAGAGCCCCGAGCCTTGGACCCGAGGAGGGTGAAGCCCAGGCCCAGGCCCAGCAGAAGGGCTCACTGGCCACAAGGGCTACAGCCCAGAAGTCAGGCGTAGCTCTCAGCCCCCGCATGGCCTCTAGCAATGCTCCCGCCGTCCAGACACCATCAGACGCCCTTGCCTTTCCCACTGCTAGATTCAGGCTCCTAGAGAGCTGGGATTTTTAAGATTGAATCTGTGATGGGCAGGTGGGGGAGGGGGAGAAAGACAAACCATCCACCTGACGGACAGGCTCCCCCGCGTTGCCCCTGCGTGCATGGCCTCCCTGTGCCTGGAGGCTGCTGTCACCCTCAGCCTGAGGCGGCAGAGTCGCCTGGGCTGATGTGCCTCAAGGCAGGCACTTCCCCGAGTCACACACAGCCTTCCCTCCACCAGATGCGCCAGTGCCCACCGCACTGTGCCCGGCGCCCCATGCCCCCACTGGTCGTTGCAGATTCCAACTCATGGGACAAATTCTAACCACACCTCCCTGCCCCGAGCTCTGACCAGCTGGAGACAAGGCAGACAGAGACATGGGGCTCTAATGTTCCCCCAAGGAAGACGCAGCTGAGGATGGGGGCCCCAGGCTGGGGGGTGAGGGTGGGGAGCGTGCCTGGGGCAGGCAGATCCCAGGGGCTGCAGGAGAGACAGCGGCAGAGCTGGAGGGCCGATATGACAGAAAGGTACTATCTCACAGTCCTGGAGGCCAGAAGGCTAAGGTCAAGGTGTCAGCGGTATTGGTTGCTCCCAAGGGCTCTCTCTTGGGTGTGTAGGTGGCCATCCTGTCCCCGCGTCCTCGTGTGGTCATCCCTCAGTGCGTGTCTACGTCCTGGTCTCTTGTAAGGGCATCAGTCAGTGGGGATCAGGGCCCCCAGTGATCTCCTCTACCCTCATGACCTCCACAAAGACCCATCTCCAAGCACGGTCACCCTCGAAGTCCTGAGACAGGACCCAGCATGTGGATCCTGGGGACACAATCCAGCCCATAACCAGGGGCTGAGACAGAGCTCTGTGAGGGCAGGCGGGTGGCGTCAGCCCCGGCTGAGTTTAGGGAGGTGTTTGCCAGGATGGGAGAGATGGGGCTTGGTGACAGCCTGGTCCGGGGGGACCCGCAGACACCGGGGGTACTGGAGCACGTGCCCAAAAAACCAAGAATTCGTCTCATGAGTGCCAGCCCTGCCTGTGGACCTTCTGAGTGCATCCGGTAGCTCCTGCTGGCTTCCTCAGTCCTCTGTCCGTGGGTCCGTCAGGGTGCTCGGTGACCTGCCAGGGCTGTTTGTCCTGCCTGTATCCCCCATGCGTTTGCAGCGGCAGCAGCCAGCTGGCCCAGGAGCACTGGGTTCTGCCCACAGACCTCTGTAAATGGAGACGGGCCTCTCCCTCCCTCCCTGTCCCATAGAACTGGCAGTTTCTGGCGGGATTCGGCTCGGGCCGGCCTCAGGAGGTTGTAGTGGGTGACAGCAGGCACTTGGCTGAGGCCCCTTCTTCTAGACTGAAAGCCCGGGCGGGAGGCTTCCAAGATCCAGGCTCGCCCACGGACAAGGAAGGACATGTCTGTCCCAGAGGTCACTAGCATAGGACAGGGAGAGGCCGCGGCTGGAAAAGCAGCCTCTGGGGCTTGGTCAGACTTCAGCGGTCCTCACCCCAGGGCACCTGCAGGTACACAGATGCCCAGAAGGTGCTTCTCAAGAGCCCTAATGCTGGAAACTTCTGGAGCTGGTGGCCGTGCGGCTTGGATGCTCTTAAGAGTCTCCCCGGCCTTTGTCAGTGTGCATGGGAGCTGCTGAGGTGACAAGGAGCCCCTGGGCTGACCTGCTGGCCAGGCCTCAAGTCTGAATGGGCCACTTCCCAGCTGTGTGACCTTGGCCAGCCACGCGGCCTCTCTGTGCACAGTCCCCTGGCCCACAGAGCCCGAGGAGAGCAGAACCTGTCTCCTAGGATCCCTGTGGAGGCTGACTCAGGTGCTGGCCACCAGGCGCTGGTGCTCCCGTGCCAGGGGTGATGGTGGTGGTCCCTGCTCTGACCCCTAGAGCTGTTTCTGGGGGGAAGGGGAGTCCAGGCTCTGTCACGCTCTATCCCCCTCCCCACACTGGGTCCACCCACTCACTCCCTCCCTTCTGCTCCCCCACAACTGACCCCCGACAGGGAGAGGGCAAACAAGCCCACCCCTTCCCAAGCTCTCTCTCCACTCGCACCTTGTAACCAGCCCCTGGGGCCACCTCAAGGCCCTGTGTGCCCCCACCCAGTCTTGGCCCTGGGAGCAAGCTCAGCAAGGAGGCTCTGCTCCCTCTTCTGGGCCCTCAGGGCTGCTGGCCAGAGCAAGGGATCCGGGGGGGCGCAGGCAGACAGTCCCTGGGCTCACCAGCCCTGCAGCCTCCATCCTCCCCACAGCGCCAGGCTCCTCCCCTCTCCTGCCCACCTATGCACCCCCCACCCCCGGTTCAGCTGCCATTGTCCACTCACCACCCCCCCACCCTGGGGTGGTCTCAGGACATCCTTTCTCCCAAAACAGGAAGCAGGTGGCCATGTACATTTCCTGTCCTTGTTCTCTCTGCGAGAACCAAGGATGAGGCATTGACCCAAAAGAGAGGCTCCTGACAATGGAGCTTGCTGAGCACTGGCCCTCTGGTGACCGCTGGGTTTGCAGAAGCTGATGGACCCAGGGCCCACCTGGAACCTTCCAGATGGAGAGGACTCGTGGGCTCCCACCCGTGCTAGTGAGGGGTCCCATGTGGTTTGGCCTCAGAGGAGGCTCCAGGCAGAGGTGTGTCCTGCCTGAGGGTGCACCAGGAAGGGCACCGGGCTCTGGGGCGGGGCTGCTGGGGGTGGAGGGATGGCTGGTGCCTGGCCACAGGGTCTCAGAGAATGGGGGGCAAGGAGCAGGAATGGAGAAACAGGGGAAAGCCTCTCCATGGCCCCCCTCCCCCCATATCCTCGTTCCTCCCTGAAAGAGCTTGAGCTGAGCTGTGGGTGTGGAAGTGTCTGTGCGGGAACTCAGTTCTCGTCCTGCTACAGAGGACAGAGGACAGAGGACGCTGGCCGGGGGCCCGATCCCAGACGCCCTGACCCGGGAGCATCCATCGACAAGCAAGCCTTGAAGGCCACGGCCACAGGAACGCCTTCCGTGCCCCTGCGGTGTGCCATCCACACGGTCACACAACCCTACAGTCGCCCAGAGAAACCACGCCGGTGCCGCACAGCCTCTGGGCCCAGGCAGACCTGACAGAGAACTGACGCTGGAGGGGAGCGGGGGCACGACCTAGGGCTCAGGCTCCCCGGGCCTGCTGCCACCCGTGCAAGCCCCAATCGTTCACCTCCCACAGCCTGCCCATGGGGCGCCTGCGTGGCACTGACTCTTGGTCTCAGCTCGGGTCTTGATCTCAGGTTGTGAGTTCAGGCCCCAGGGTAGGCTTCGTGCTGGGTGTGGAGCCTCGTTAAAAAGAAACATATATAGAGACATATGAGGCCCGTCAGCAGACAAACACGGGGAAGGAGCGTACTTACCACTGGCCTGTCACTAATCGCAGCCTCGATGGGCCGGCGGTTAGCTTTTCCGGGTAAATGGGTGTGATGCATAATTGAGGACCCGCTCACGGGAAAGGAATCGGTGCTTCTAGGAATGGGAAACCTGACGCCTGACGCTCAGGCCCTCGCTCAGCACCCGGCGTCCGAGGCCTCACTGAGCCCCTGCCAGCATCCCCACTCCTGTGCTCTGGAGCAGTGTTTCTGGCCCCCCGCCGCCCAGAAGAGTCCTCGAGGGGCACTTTTAAATCCTACCAAGGTTAGGTGTCCACTCCCCCCGCCTCCCACCACAAGATCGCCCCCGGGAATCCAAACGTTGGTTCGACCGGCCTGGCTGTGACCTTTGCTTTACCGCGGCAGCCCGGAGCCCCCCCTCGCCCTGGGGGCCTGCCTCCGCCTGATAAACACACAAATAAGGAGATACCAGAGTATGTCCAAGCCTGGAAGGTGCTAGAAAAAAAATTGCAGGGCAGGGCCCGGGAGTCCGAGGTGGGGGAAGAGACCAGCTGTGGTGTTACAGAGACTGCTCCCCTCCCCAAATGCAGGTGGCACCTGGGACAGTATGGCAGAAGTGACAGGCAGGACGTCAGGCCTGAGGTTAGGTCAGTATATTGGCGACGTCACTCCCACAGTAAGGCTACACTCTATGAGACTCCATCTGTGCAGATCTGGGACAGAGGCTCTCTTGCTGGCTCTAAAGAAACAAACAGCCGTGCTGGGAACTGCCCACTGAGCGGGCCACAGGCAAGGGAATGGCTGGGGCCACTAGGACCCAAGGCCAGCCTCTAGCCAACAGCCAATGAGAAGCAGGCCCTCGCTGCCACAGCCCCCAGGAAATGCGTCCTGCCGGTAAGCAGGGGAGTGTGGAAGAGGACCCTTCCCCAGGTGGGCCTCCAGCTGAGAACGCCCAGCTGGCACCCAGCTGCGGCCTGGCAGCACCCGAAGAGGACGGCGGCACGTGTCTGGGCACCAGGATACCCATCCCGCAGGAACCCTGCTAACAGACAAGTGCGGCTGTAAGCAGCTAAGTTTGTGGGAAGCAGGAAAGGGGCACATAGGGCGGCCGGGTGGGCTCCACGGAGGAGCTGAGCTCCCAGGGGGCAGCAAGTGGGAGGGCGCCCAGCAGACAGCCAGGGGTGCATGTCCAGGCAGAGCGAGCACCAGTGCCCCGGAACACCCGCTGTGCGTGAGGAGCACCGTCTGGGGCTGGAGAGGAGGAAGCGGGGCGCAGTGGCGAGGGAGGGGGCAAGGGCGGGGGGGGGGGGGGGGGGAAAGGAAGAGTGCGCAGGGGTGAAGGAAGGAGGACAGGGCGAAGGAGGGGATGTAGGAGCGAGGGCGCAGAGGGGTAGGGAGAGGAGGATGCCGCGAGGGAGGGGGCGCACCGGCGAGGGAGGGGAGGACGAGGCGAGGGAGGACTGTGCGAGGAAGACAGGATCGGGGAGCCGGTGCAGAGGTGAGGGGCGGGGACGGGGCGGGGACGGGGCGGGGACGGGGCGGGGACGGGACGGGGCGGGGACGGGGGGCGGGTCCTTACGGAAATGGAAAAGCGGGGAGAGCCGGGCGGGGCCGCGCGCGGCGTACCACTGAGAGGCCCGGGGCCCCGCCTCCTAGAGCGGCGCCGGAAGGGGAGGGCCCTTCCGGAGGGCTCGGCGGCCAGGCGGCTCAGCTGGGCTGGCGGCCGGGTGCTAGCGCGGGAGGCGGGTGCGGCGGGGCCGGGTGAGGGGGACGTCGGTCCCCGGGCCCCGCCCTGCAGCCAGGGACTCGCCGGTTCCCTCCGGCGTCGCTCGGGCCCGCCCCCCCGGCCCAGGGCCGAGGCCTCCCCTCCTCCGGCTCCCGGGCGCCGCGGGGAGAAGGGCGAGGAACCGCTCGGAGCGGATCGAGGTGACGCGGCGCCCCGAGGCTGTTGGCGGGGGCGCGCCGTGCTGCCCCCGGGGCCTTCTCTGCGGCCGACACCGCTCGCGGCTGCTGCAGGCGGGCCCGGGGGCTGGCGGGGCGCGAGCGTGTCTCTGGGTCCCGAGCCGAGCCCCGGGCATCCGACGGCGGGGTTTGCGGGGACCCGGGCCGCGGGGGCTCCCCGAAGCCTCAGGAGGCCTGGCCGGAGGGGAAAGGGCTGCCCCGGCGTTGCCCCGCGCGCCGCACCCCAGCCCTGGGGCCGGGTGGCTGGAGCGTCGCGGCGGCTGCGAGGTGCGGGCCAGGCCCTCGGGGCGACGCGGTTCGCGGCTGGTGCGGAGCTCGGTGCGCGCTGCCGTCCGGCCCCTGCCGGCTGGAGCTGGGCGGCGGGAACGAGCCCAGAGGATGGTTCCCGAGCGCGGCGTGCGGGCTCCGGCCTCGCAGCTGGCGGTGCAGGCGGGAAGCCGCCGCCTCGGAGCGGGTCCCCCAGGAGCCCGGAGCGCAGAGGAGCCCCGCGCGGGCGGGTCCGGGGTTGAGGGCGCTTTCCCGGTGGCTCCTGATGTTGCGGTTTCCCGCTGACGCTGGCTCCTCGCTGCTCGCCTCCCCGGCGGAGCGCCGCATCTGCCCGGGCCGTCCTCAGCCGGACGCGCTGCCCTCGCCCTGAGTTCGGGCTCCGCCCAGGTGCTGAGAGCGGCTCCTCCCAGAACCTGCCCCCGGCAGGGCCTTTCTGGCGTCAGAGGCCTGAATCCGGACCTCGCGTGCCCGCACATTCTCTTTCCGAAGGAACCAGACCCTCGGGCTCCTCAGGGATTTCACGGCTGCCTCTGCATGGGGGCGAGGAAAGCCCAAGCCTGCCCTTTTGACTAAGAGAATTCAAAGTATTCACACCTTCGAACTGCTCGGGGCGCCTGGCTGGCTGCGTCGTGGAGCCTGGGACTCTCCCCACTGCGGCCTTGAGTTCAAGCCCCCACGTTGGGCATAGAGATTACTTTAAAAAAAAACATTTTTTTTTTAAAGCTATAGTGTCGTCATACACACGAGTTGGACAGACGCACAGATGAAAATGTTCAGGTAGATAAATGGGATGGAAAACACGATTCAAAGAAAAATACATCACTGGGTCATTACCACCAAGGACATCACATTTTGGGGTGAGACAGCCTGTCAGGGATATGGTAGCCATCACAGGCCACGAGATACCTTCCTAGGAACGCTGTTCACAGGAAATGCTGGAGGGTCAGAACGGAACCTGCCTTTGGAGCTTTTTCTTTTAAAAAGGAAGGCGTTTTCTCAGTCTTGTGGAGATCTCTCACTAGCAGTTAAAGAGTCTGAAGTTTGTCCGGGCTTGACGCTGGGGTTCCTCTGATTAGCACTGAGGGAAGAGGAGGGTGAGGAATAATACAGAAACAGAAGAGGAACTCAACAAAGGAACTAGGGGCTGTGACGGTCCTAAAAACACAGGGGACTGTTGGATCCCATCTGAGTTTGTGGTGGAATTGGGTGCTGTTAGATGGAGTTAGGGACCGGGAACATCAGGTGTTCACAGTGTACGCAAGATCTAGGTGTTTAAAGAGTGGGCTCTAGTTCAGGGCCCCAGGGAGGACTGGAGCCTGGTCAGGGAACAGGGAATGGGGGCGGCGTTTCGTGGAGTCAGAGAGGCGTCTCTGAGAAGGACCCATTCAGAGCTCCGAAGTGAGGGGCCAGCCCCATGAACACCTACCCTTGGCCTATTTCTGGAGTCAGCCAAGCACGGAGGCAGGAAGGACTGGGTATGTTTGAGGAGCCTAAAGAAAGCTAGATGGTGGGAGGGGAGTGAGGAGGGGGCCCAGTTGGCAGGTATAGGGCTCGTAAATATGAGGGAAGCCACTGGGGTTTGGGACAGATATATAGGGGCTTTGCTGGCTGCTGTATGGAGATGGACCATGGGAGGAGGGCTGGGGTGCCCCTGGGGAGCCAGCCCCACATCTGATCCATCTCAGACTCCAGGCTCTAGGTGACAGGAGGATAGCTCCCAAAGGGGCACTTGTGGGTTCCACACTCTAAGAGCACATCGTCTGGTTCCAAATACAGGCAGTGGAGAAGGAGAGAGAAAATGGAGGGGAAAAAAATGCCAACATGGGGACCGCACAGAGTTATTGGTCCCTGGTCCATGTCAGACCCCACTGGACACAGGCCTGGAGACGCCATCCCCTGGGAGAGGGTTAGAGTGAGTGTTGTGTTTGAAAGGGGAACCAACAAGCAGAGAAAGGGTCAAGTTTCTGGGTGCCCCCATCTGTCCCTTAGCCTCTCTGCACTGCAGGGGCCCACAGCTCTGGTCCTCGCGCACACCCGTGTGATCTAACCTCCACGGTCTGGCTTCTCTGGCAGCACAAGGATTGGTGGCGTCCTCCCTCCGGCGCAGACTCCCTGCCCCAGAGCCCAGACCGCTCATCACAAGCTCAGGAGGATCAAGAGCTGTGACTAAAGCAAGAGCTTTCGGAAGAAGTGGGGCGACCGGCCCCTGGCCTTTCTCCTCAGCCTATCCTGGCTTCCAGTGGCCCTTCCTCTCCCGGGAACAAAAAAAGATGGAAAAGCCCAGGGGCAAAAAGAAGGCACAGACCCCAAAAGAAGAAGGAGATTTGCTAAAGGACGCTCCCAAAGAAGAGAAAGCTTCTGGGGAGGAAAGGGCCAACCAGAGGACGGTGTCGGCGAAGAAGCCCAGGAAGGTTGGCCTGAGCCCTGGAGACGAGGAGCACGTGTTCGACGCCTTCGATGCTTCGTTTCAAGACGACTTTGAGGGGGTTCCTGTGTTCGTGCCTTTTCAGAGAAAGCAGCCCTTCAAGTGCGGCGAGTGTGGCCGCGTCTTCAAGCACAAGACAGACCACCTTCGCCACCAGAGGGTTCACACGGGAGAAAAGCCCTTCAGGTGTGAGGAGTGTGGGAAGACGTTCCGGCACAGCTCCGACGTCACCAAGCACCAGAGAATCCACACTGGAGAGAAGCCCTTTAAATGCAGTGATTGTGGGAAGGCCTTCAATTGCGGCTCCAATCTCCTAAAACATCAGAAGACACACACCGGAGAGAAGCCGTACGCGTGCAAGGAATGTGGGAAAACCTTTGCCTACAGCTCATGTCTCATTCGCCATCGGAAGCGTCACCCCCGGAAGAAGCACTGAGCGAGGGGAAGCTGTGCCGTGTTGGTGCCGATGGGAGCACAGCACACCTGTGCCTGGGCGTCCCCATCGCCGTCTGGAAAATCAAGCCAGTGAGGTAAGCAGGTGCTTGAGTGTGCGAAAGGCCTGGACCGATACACCACGACAACGTGGGAGGGGCTTGTGGCCCCAGAGACGCTGGGGACACTAGCAGCTGTCTGGGACTCTGGAGATGGCTGCTTGCGAGCGGCCCAGCACCTTCCAGGGCAGCCTCTGCCCTTGGCGTCCACTGTGGCTTCAGCCCTCTCGGCTCCCTTGAAGACTTGACTATGCAGACTCCCGACCTGCCGGGTCATGCCTATGCAGCCTGGCGGGGGCCGGTGGCCCTGAGCTGGAGAGCTGTGCTCTGCGGTCATGCCCACAGCACTGCACCAGACGCCTGCTGGCCCCACTCAGCTGGCCATGGTGACAGTGGTTTGTGCTCTGGCTTCTCTCCTCGTGCATCCCCGACCCGATCCCCGGGAACCGAACCCCTTGTGCGTCCCCCTGGCCCAGGTGAGTGGCCTGACTCACCCAGGTGGGTCCCTCGGGACCTGCGTGCCGCCACCGTGGGAGATTCCTGCCCCGGACACGTAGACGTCCCGAGGATGTGAGGGCAGCTTCAAGCCGGCCCGCGTCTGCCACGGGGCTCTTCGGTTGTGAGGCCCTGCACCCTGCCCCCCGGAGGGCAGCTCTCCAGGTTAGTTTCACTTCTTCCTGCCTGGCCCCCAAGTTCCATCTTATCCCCTGGGTGAGGCCCACTTTGGTTTCCCCCTGGGAGTGGCCTGGAGGGGGCTTCATGTTCTCAGAGTGGCGTGGTGTGTCCCAGAGTTTCCGACAGTGTAAGGGGAGCCAGCTGACCGCCAACCGGCAGGTAATGGGCTTTTCACTAGGAAAATGTTGATGCCACACTTGCAGCTGTTGGGACCCCCAGAATGGCCTTACTCTTTGGGGGTTCTATCCTGCAAGCAGGTCCTGAATGAGGGGGGCCTGTTTCTCCATCAGGTGGTCACAGACGCCAGAGGGCAGCTGCTCCCGGTGGAGGTGCTTCTCCAGGCTGGTAGGTGTTTGCTCCTGTTCATTCTATGATGATGCCTGAGCTGGCACCCCTCCCCGGCCCCAGCGCAGCCCTCCCGGCCGACTCGGCTTGCCCCAGGCGTGGCAGGAGATCCAGGGGGACACACCGTGTATGGTCCTCGATGGGAAAGGTAGCTGCAGAGGACATCACCGGGACGTTTAGCAAACTTCGTGTGCACACTGTCCACGGGGGGCAGAGCTGCACCAGTTTCCGGTTCCTGCTTGGACCGCGGTCATCCCACCTGTCCTTGTTGGGAAGGACGCTCTCGAAGGTTTTCCCGGGGGTTTGCGGTCATGCTGTCTGCGATTTACTCTCAGACGTTCAGCAGAGAATACAGGACCTGTGTTCGCTCGGAGCGCGACGAGGCAGATGGCGCGCGTTGGTCGTTCCTGCGCCTGGAGCGGGTCGGCAGACGTCTTCTGTGAAGGGTCGGATAGTGACCATTCCTGGCCCTGCAGCCCTAAGGCGTCTGTCCCCGCTCAACTCCACTGCGGCATGTGACCGAAGCCCCCACTGCACGAGCGAACGCGCGTGGCCGAGTTCCGCAGAAGCTGTATGTGCAGAGACTGGCAGCCACCAGGCTGGGTGTTGTCGGGGAAGGACGCATGAGAGTCGCCCGTCCCGTGCGCACGTCCTCCCAGACCCACTGCTGGGGGGAAGCCAGCGGCAGCAGACAGAAGGAGACCCTGAGAGGCCACCGAGGGGCCCCGAGCGGTGAGCCCGGCTGCTCGTCTTGGGGTGCTGGAGCGCAGGGTGCGATGCCCGGCCAGCGGCCACCCCCACGGCACGCACGTCCAGGGCTGTCCACGTCCTCCTCAGCGTGTTGGTTTGTCTTGTCTACGGCCTAAGACACGCCAGGCCACGTGTGTCTGTAGATCTGAATCCTGGTTCCACTCGTTTCCGCTCAGAGGGCGGCGAGCGTGGTCGGTGCCGCTGCCTAGAGGTGGGGGAGGGAGAGTGGTACAGAGAGGCTGACCGTCTTCTAACGGGCACATGGGCTGTTTCTGGTTTCGGGCATTCTAAATAATACTGAGATAAATATGTTTCTGCATTTAGGGTTGACAGGATGGGTGCCCGGACACAGAACGACAGGTGGAGATGGTGGCGGCAGGCACCCTGCTCTGGGCCCTGCAGGGTGGGCGTCCCAGCGGCGCAGTCGGCAGGCCGGCCTGGCCTCTCCATCAGCAGCCAGGTGGGTTTTCGTCATTGCCAGGTTGTCAGAAGAGAAAGAAACATGCTCTGACCCCATGGCTCTGATTTCTAGAGAGGGGGTGGGTGGGGAAGAGCACAGGCTCTCGCGACTCTAGCGAGTGCCTCGGCAACGTGGGACCCAGGGCATGTCCCTTAACCTCCTCGTGCTCCCTCAGTTTCCTGTGGCGTGACGTGGGCATGCGCACGGGGCTTACCCCGACCCAGCGAGTCGCGTGAAGTCGCAGGTGCAGGGCCGGCTCCCCGCAAGCGTTTTAGGCGTGTCAGCTCGGGGCGCACCTGGCTGACTTGGTGGGTGGTGAGGTCCAGCCCTGTGTTGGGTCTGGACGTCTTGCCGTGTGTTTGTGCTCATAGGGAGGCAGACATTTGCCCGTGTGCGTGGCAGGCGGGCCGTGCACACCCACAGCCCTCAGCACCTCTCCCAGGAAGGCTGCCGGTGACTTCAACTGCACTGGCCCAGAAGAGAGCCACAGAAAAACTCATTTTAAAAAATAAGACTTGGAAATTTGTTTTTTCAGTACAGTTTAGTCATGAGAAAAGTCACAAAATCAATCTCAAAGCAGCGAGCAGCCTTTTCTGCCTCCTGTCTCTCTGGAAGTTTTGAGGGGCTTTCTATTGTTCTAGTGAAACTCCTCTCTTAGGAAAAAGAAAACCTTCTCAACAATCTGACCCAAATTAAAAAAAAAAAAAAGACAAAATCTATAAAACACGCAGACCTCCCTGACACTGTCCCTCACCAGACGCGGGCTCAGCTGTCAGCCGCCAGGGGAATAAGCGCAGACCCCGGGGTCGCAGGAGCCGGAGCCTTGGAAGCCCAGGGCAGAGTGCCAGAGGCCAGCGGGGACACAGCTGTGCGGCCTGCACTCATGTGAGGGGCCAAGGCCGTGCCCCCCCCACCGCCCAGCAGGAGACGTTCCCCGGGGACAGGGAGTTTAACAGGTGCAGGGTTCTGTTGGGAATGATGAAAAGGCTTTGAGCATAGGGCACGAGACCGTGACGCACACAGGTAAGTCAGTAAACACCCTGTGTATTTCCTGCCGCGAGAACAGTCCGTGGAGTCCACGGTCCTGTTAGCAGCTGTCAGTCCACTTTAGCAACAAACAGCATTTCATAGCAAGTTAGAGACGCGCCCTACCGTGCTAGCCCAGAAGTCTCACGTTAAAATCCCGTAGGGAACCTCTGTGCATGCGCAGTAACGTCGCTAGTGCACGTGGAATGTCAGAAAAATTGGAAATAACCCCAACGTGTCCCTGCAGTGGAGTGGGGCGGCGGTCGGGCAGCAGCGCGGGGCTCCTAACCCTCAGGGACCGGGGGCGGGGCTCTGAGCCGCTTCCGCATCACATCATACCCACGACGTCTCCGAGGTTTACGTGGGTTTGAAATGTTAGTTTCTAACTTCCTTAACTTCTCTGAGACCGGATGCTCCCCCCCCCCCGCCCCCGTTCTGTTGCTGTCCAGGCCGGGGGGGCGTGGGTCAGGCCCTGGCCGCAAGGCCAGTCTGGCTCCGCAGGGGGTGGAGTTGGGGTGGGCCGCAGCCAGGTAGTAACTGCATTTCTTTGTTCAAAAGGTAATTCGTGTCCCTTTCTGGCTGTGAGAGCAGATCACCCTGGTCAGGAAGCTCCTGATGAGGTGTGCGGAAGAGTGAACCGTCCAGCCAGACAGGCCTGAGCCCCAGGAGGCCGTGAGGAGGGCGCAGGGCAAGCGGAGAGGACCTAACCCAGACATCCTCTCCATCTGGGGGCGCGGGGGCGGGGCTGGGCTGGAAAGCTCCGGGCGGTGGTGGGGGCGCTGGTGGGCTGGGTGACCCCCAGCAGGTGGGCAGGTGACCCCCAGCAAGTGGGCGGGGCGGTGTGACAGGTAAGCGGCACCTCCTGTCCCCTCGCAGAGCCCCGTGAAGGCAGCGAACACCCCGAGGGCCCTTCACCGGTTCCCCAACCTCCCTGAAGGCCACAGAATTCACACCCATAGCCCTGCTGCACCCAGGAGGGCAATGCGGACACCACCTGCCTTCTAGGAAAGCGCTGCAGGCAGAAACCCCAGGCAACATCAGGAACTTCCCCCAGCATCCTGGGACTGTCCCAGAGAAATGCCTTTTCCAAATGGAAAACCTTCAGGGCACCCCCGGCTGAGCATGGTTCTCAAAGCCCAGTGCCCGGGAGCACTTAGGGCCACGCCCACAGAGCACCTCAGCACCTGGCCCAGCTTGGAGGGCGCAGGAAAGACACCAGGCAGGCGGGGGGGCATGGAGGACACTTGCGGAAGACCCAAGGGAGGTGACACGGATCATCCTTCAGGCTGGCGTCCTGTGAGCCGGGCCGGCATCTGTCCCTACAGGCCTCCTGCCAGGCTCGATCTGAGGGAAGGTGGCAGCCAGCGCTGTGGGAGAGTGGGCAGTAAGGGCCACGCAGCCGGTGGGGCTCTGCTTCCTCCTCCCCCTGCAAATTGGGGAGTTGTCCTGTGACCGGGCCCACTGCAGTCCCGAGGAGGCTGTAGGCACCAGGGTGCTTCCTGGCCTTGATTTGCAGTGGCCTCTTGTGTCCATCCCTAGTCTGGATACCAAGTGTGCTAGTCCTTTCCCCTGCAAGTGAGCGAGGCCCCAAGACACACCGCAGACAGCACAGGTCCGGACACAGCCCAGACCTCGGCTTCGGGGAGCTGACCCCCGGGTTCCCGAGTCCTGGTGCGCGTGGCACTTGGACGTTTGCTCTGGAGGTTCTCAGCCATAAAGGAGGGGTAAAAGGGGTGTCCCCAAGGCCCAGGGAAGCAGTGTTGGGACCAGAAAGGGAATGGACTGAAGGCCAGTTCAGGGTGGGACCAGCCGTGTGGATGAGGGGGCAGACTCCGTGTCTCACACCCAAGGACACAGCTCTGCTCTGGATGGGGGCCCGTGCCTCCTGGGACCTCTGTGCACTGAGCGTAGAGTTGGTGGTCTCCTGGTGTCACAAACTCCAGCTGCCTGTTCCACAAACCACAGGGTCCTCCCCTTGACCAGAGTCCTGCCAGGACCCAGACAGGGCCATGGGGGCCTGGGGACACTGCTGCTGGGCTTGCCTGCCTGCAGCTGAGCGCCCCCCACCCCCGTGCCTCCTGCCCGGTGCCACGTGCGTGCCAGCACCGAGATCCGCACGAGCTCCCTGTCACACTACGTGGGCCCCAGGTCCCTGCAGCCACCCTGTGGCCTTCTGGTTTTAACACGGGCGTGTGTCCTGGTGAGCTCGAGCACTCGGCATTGGCGGCAGCGTCCTGGGATCGTCCTCACGCCGCGGTTGGAGTGCGTCCACTGGGCTCTCGGCGCGCAGCTGCTGGTCCCCCATGGGTGAAAATGGGACTTTCCCAACAGAGACATCTGATGGACTTCGACTCTGTAATCCCTTCACTTCCTTCAGTCCCCAGAGCGCGAGCACATGCGCATCTGGGGACACATTCCATTTCAGTTTATCCGAGTTCTGTGGTTTACTCTCCATGGAGCGCTGCCTCCATCCTGACCGACGTTGCACTGGTTCTGGTTACCTTCCAGCCACCCTTCTCCCCAGCACATGTCCTGTCCTGCTTGTGGATAATCTGTTTCCCCCCGTAATAAACTCTGTTCTGACCCGTTCGCTGGGTCCTGCTCATCTCTCTGCAGTTTAGGGGAGCAGTCGGGACTCCCCAGCGCCTGGTCACCTCCTCCAGGTGCGTCTCCTGGGGGCTGCCTCACATGGACCAGACTCGTAAGAGACTGACAACCAGAGATGGAATCCGCTGGCTCAAGATGGGAGTGAGCCCTCGGGGGACAAAATACTATGTCCCTCCAGGGACATGGGCCTCCTGGCCCCAGATGCTGGGGAACTAGAGGTTTCTCGGTGGCTGAGGCCTGTAGTCGTAGCACTGGAGGGGTCTGGGAGGCGCTCCGCCTGCTCCCCCACTTCTGCAGAGCCTGGGTCAGCCTGCCCTGCCGCACTGTTGTTCACTTCTCCTGAGGCCATTCATGCCCCCCCCCCCCCGAAGGGGATGTGGTAATGTCTGGAGACATTTGTGCTTGTCGCAACTGAAGGGAGGTGCTACCGGCATCTGCTGGGTGGGAGCGAGGAAGCCACTCAGCGCCCTGCAGAGCACCGGATGTCCAGTAGCTGAGGACCTGGCTAAGGATGGAACTCCAGGTCAGACCCAGAGTCAGGGACAGGCAGGGAGACACACAGGCAGGACAGAGAAGAGCAGAGCTGTTGGCTAGGGGAAGGCCAGGCAGCTCTGTACAGAAACCCAAACACTTGGTAGGAGGTCTGTGGAGGCTGAAGAGCATGGCTACTGGGCAGCTGGGGCTGGGTCCCCTGAAAGTGGGGCAGAGGCAGGCGAGACACCTGACTGGCTGGGAGTCTCCACACCAGTAATTACGCACCCCCATCTCTCCAGCCTCATAAGAAACAGGAGTGTGCTCCACCCCACTGAAGCTAACCCAGCAGGGCCACGCACAGGCCAGCAAGGAGAGGGTGAGGGACAGACTGAGAAGGGGAACTGGGAGACCCCAGCTACCTCTGTGCATCGTGGGCCGCGTGTCCAAGACAGAACTTGGCTTGTGGCATTGCCCTGTCTCGAAGCAGGCTTTCAGTCAAACTCCAGCCTGAACCCCAAGTCGTCGTGCCCCACATCCCAGCAAGCAGCAGGTGCTGTCAGTTTGGTCCCCAACATGGGCCCTACCCAGCCTACTCTCAACCTACACCATCTGTCCCTTCCTGCCTCCCTGCTGTCCCAAACTGCTGTTAAAATGCACAGCCGATCTCACACCCTGGCTCAGGACCCTCCGGGGCTCCCGGTGCATTTAAAATCCAGGCTCCTAATTGTGCCTTCAAGACTGCTTGTCCACCTTGTTTCATTCTCCCTTGGCCCACCACACTCCCAGCTTGCCTGGTTGCTGCAAAACCCTTGGCAACGCTCATGCCTCAGGACCTTGGCACATGCTCTTTCTTCTGCTTTGAATACTCTTTCCTCTAGCCTCTGTGTGACTAGCTTGCCCACTCTCCTCTTCCCTTCCTCTGGTGTCACTGCCTTAGTGAGCCGTCCTTGGACCACTAAGCTCTTGGGAGCTTCCTCCAAGTTCTTACCGGGTTTGTGGTGCCGGTGTGTTTGCCAATGTGCGGTCTGCTCTCTCCCACGCGCTGGAATGGCAGCTCCATTGAGTGAGGGAGCTAGCCTGTTCCCAACGTACCCCTGCTCCTGGCCCAGGGCCTGGCATGAGGTCAGGCAGAGGGGAGCAGCGGGCGGTTCTTCCAGAACCTGCAGGGCTGGGAGTCTAAGGTGCGGGCGAGTGAGGCAGCTGCGGCAGGAGGCTGCCCTGTCTGCAGGTTTTAACCCTCCAGGGATCAGCGGCTCGGGGCTGCCGCTGCCTGTTTGCCAGCGCTCACCCCGAGTCCTTCACTTGTCCCCGATGCCCCAGCTTCTCTGCCGCCCGGCACCCGCCTGGGACCAGAGGCCGGGATTCTTGGGTTTGGGCTCCCTCCCTGCGCCCTGGAGCTCCCTGGCTGGTCCTCCCTGGCTGTCCTCGTGTTGTCCACCCGCCCGGCCGGAGGGCCAGCGTCCCCCGCGCCCGGTGAGTTCGCGGAGCCGTGCCGGCTGTCCGCTTTCCTGTAAGGCCGGACTCCTGCTGCCCTCTCCCCGGGGCCGGAGAGGCGGGACCGCAGAAGCGACGGGGCGCGTGCAGGAGGCGCTCGGCGGCGAGGGGTCGGGAGAGCCTGCGGCCGCCCCTCCGCACGCGCTGGAGCTCGGGAACACTTGGCGGGGCGCGGCCCGGAGGGCGGTTGAGACACCCCGTAAAAGAAGAGAATCTGGCGGCGACTGTCGGCGGCCAGCGGGACCCCGCGAGGGCGACCGCGCGGCACTGACGACGCCCTGGGCGCAGCGGCTCCTCGAGAACTCGAGGTCAGCCCGCCGCGCCCGCCCCCGCCACGGAGGCGGCGTCCTCCCGCGCCCAGAGCGTCCCGGAAGTGCGCGCGGGCGGGCCGGGGCGGGGCAAGGGCGCACTTCCGGCCGGCGCGCGGGCGGCCGCCTCCGGCTCGGAAGGTGAGTGGGCGCCGGGCGGCGGCGGCGGCGGCGGCTGCGGGGGTTCCCGGCCGGTCCGCGCTCGCGCGTCGTCCCCGCGGGCCCCACCCCGGCCGCACCCCGCGCCGCCGTGACCTCGGCCCGGGCCCGGCCTGGGGGCGCGGGGGCGCGCCCCGCCGCTCCGGGGCGCAGAGGAGGCCTCCGCGGGGTGCGGGCCGCAGCGGGCGCACCTGCCCCCGGCCAGCGCGGGCGTCCGTGTGCGGGGCGCCTCCCCACGCGCCGGGCACCGCGGGGACGGAGCCGGCGCGGTGCCCACTTTGCAGGTGGGACGCGGAGGCTCAGAGAAGTCCGCGGCCGGGGGCGTGAGCGCCGGACCTCGGCCGGGCAGCCTGCGCCCTGCCGCCCAGCGCCCCGAGATCGGGCCCTTCCCCGCGGGGCTCAGGCTCCGGGCCAGGAGGAGAGGGGGCGGGAAGGCCTGCTCTTGGCCGGGGCGTGTCTGCCCCTCCGCCCGCCCCCGCCTGCAGCAGTGTGGGGTGCAGTTTGCGCCCGGAGCCCGTGCCGGCGGCCGGGTGGGCGCCACCCCCGCGCGGACAGCCGGGGCGGGGAGCGTGCCCCTTCCCTGAGAAGTCCCGGGAAGCGGACCGAGTAACTTGAGCTGGACGTAGGAGGTGGAGGGCCCGCGCCCAGACGTCCTGACTGCGACCCCACCCCGCGTCCACCTGGGTCCACTTCCCTGAGTGTCCGCGACCCTTCCCGTCGTTAGGGAGTGTGGCGTGCCGAGATGGCCCAGGCGCTGGCCAGGAGCCCCGCGGCGGCTGCCTCCCCACGTCCTTGAAGCAGACACTGTTAGTGGCCGTTGGTTAGTGTCCTGTAACCCGTGTCCTCGTCACACCCCAGTAAGGAGCCTCGCTTCCCCACAGTGCGGAAGGAAACCCTTCTCCCCCGGCACCAAACCATTCTTGAAAACCAAATTAAAGCAGGTACCTTGGACCTCAGAGGCAGCGCAGAGCCCTGTGGGCTGCCGGCGTGGTCTCCAGACCCCACAGAGCCCCGGAGGCTGCCGGCTGGAGACCACACGGGCAGCCCACAGGGCTCTGCGCCTCCTCTGAGGTCTGCGGGGTCCGAGGACGGCGGTGCTCCTCTCAGGAACTGTCTTGTTGAGATTTAATCTGGAACGTTCATGCTCCAGCGGGCGGAGTGCGCCTTCTCACCCTTCTCCGGGGCCGCAGCCCCCAGCAGCGCTGAGGGAGGTTCTGCGGGGAGATCCCACGTGCTTTAAGCTCTGGGCTGGGAGAGCGTTCCAGACCGGTGCTCGATGAGCGCTTGAGCTAGGTCCCTGCAGGTGTGCTGGTGCTGTCCACGTGATGTGATGTGGCAGAGTAAACATACCAGGGGCACAGCTGATCTCATCCCAGGCCCCACGTGGCCTCCCTGGCATCCTTGTTCCTGTCCCCACCCCATGAAGGAGCCCCCAGCTCCCTCGCGGCTGACGGGTAGCTGGCATTGCCCCCACCCTCCACTCGTTCCTCTGACCCCCCTCATCCTGCCATGGTTTTCATTTCCCCAGGTCCCAGGTGTGCATACCTTCAGCAGGCCTTGGGGAAGATGGCGACCCTGGGGGACAGTCAGGAGCCCCCTCGTGTCCCGTCCCCGGTCAATCTTGCGTCACCAGGGACACCTGGAACCTGCCAGCGCGAGGCCCAGCTTCACCTCCACGGTCATGAACACGGTACTCACCCTGCGCTGCACTCCCTCCGCCTCCCTGCACCGTCCGCCTGCCCCGCACCACTGGCACTGCCTGCTGGAAACAAGGCAGCTCACCGGGTGCTGGGGTTCCTGCACCCTCGCGCTTGGGTCAGGCCAGGGGCATCCATGGCGGAGGCCAGAGACCGAGCCTTGTGAGCGATGGCTCCCTGTAGTCCCCTGGACTGGGTTTGGGGGATTGGGGAAGAGCAGCCTCAGGGTTAGGGTCCTGTGTCCTGCCCTCTCCCTTTATGAGCCTCTGTTCCCACCCCAAGAAAATAGCACCCAGAGTTCTGGGCAGGCTGGTTTGGGTTGGGGGCCCCCCAGGACCTGCAGGGATGGAGCTGCTGGCCTGTCCCACCCTCCTGGCAGGGTCTCAGGATGTCAGAGGCGTGGAAGTAGCCAGTGACTGGTGGGGGCCAGGGGCGGAGAGGATGTCCAAGCACATGGCATGGGGTGCCCCTGGGTCTTGCTCACACTCAGCCATCAGGAAGCCACAGGGGCTCTGCCTGTGCCCCACATGCCACGGGAGGCCTGGCCCCAGTTCTCACAGCTGAGGACACCATGAACTGATGACCGCCAGGTCAAGGGCTTGGGTGTGTCTCATCCCACTCTTGGCATTACAGGAAGTGACGTGATGGCGGTGGAGATGCGCCAGCTCTGTGCCGAGGACTCCATGCGGGCTGTGTTGGAGCCCAGTGACCGCCCTCTCCGGGGCACTAGCAGACGAGGACAGTGAGGCCCACAGGGGTCACACAGGGCTAGGGAACGTGGGATTCACCCCCCAACTCAGTCCAGGATCGGACCAGGAGCGGTTCCTAACCTGTGCTGAGCCTGGCTCGGGGATGGCCCCTGGCCTCCCGCCCGTCCCAATGGTGGCCAGGCCGGCGGTGGGGGCGGAGCTGGGTGCTGCGGGAAGAAGCCCATAGTCTGCAGGCCTGCGCAGGCGCAGCTGCCTCTCTCTGCACGGTGCTTTCAGGCCTGTCCCGCACGCAGTCAGGATTGTGGGGCCCACTCTTCCCCTCCAGTTTCTCACGTCACCTCCCACAACAGCCTGGCAAGGTAGGACCTGCTGTACCCGTGTTGCTGACAGGGACATGGAAACCCAGATGTGAGCCAGTGGAGGCCGGTAGGACTCTGAACACATCAGTGGGACTCAAGCCCACCTCCCCCGACTGTGCCCAGCAGGCTGGGGCTCAGGGCTCATGTCTGCTAATTGGCAGGACGTAGGACCGGGAAGGGACTGTCCTGGAACACATGCTGACCAAGCCAGTCTTACTGGATGCGAAGACTGGTGCCCAGGATGTAGGTCCTCCCGCCCCAGCAGAGTGGGGCTGCCCCTGATCCAGCGAGAGCCTGGAGGCCGGGCTGCACTCCCTGAGTCACAGCCAAGTGCCCTCAGGTGCCCAGGGGTCTTGCCCAGTGAGAAGGGGTGTGGACAGCAGCTTCAGCACTCCCTGTACTGTTCCGAAGTGGGCGGGGGGCAGGGTGTTGCCTGCCAGGGAAACAACTAAGACTGACCCTAAGGAAGAGAGGCATGGGGCCTCCGGCAGGCTGTGAAGGAGGAGGTGTGGCTGGAGGGTGGGGGAGCCCAGGGAGGTCCAAGGGGCCAGAGGGAGGAGAGCAGTCCAACAGAAAGAGCCGGGCCGCACGATCGAGCTGCTCTCCAGGGCAGAGACTGCCCCTCGCCATCTCTGGACCTCATTTCCCTTGCTGGTGGGTTCCTCAGTGCCATGTGGTCCACCCATGCCCTCAGAGGAAAGATCCCAGCATCTCAGGAACCTGCCTAGGGCCCTCCAGCCAGTGAGACCAGGACTTCCGGAGCCCCAGCCTCCCTGCTCCCAGACCAGGGTGGGTGGTGCAGGCCGGAAAGAGCACTGGGGGTGGGGCCTGCCCTGGGAGACCTGGGGTCCCCATGCCCGCACCAGGGCTGGATCCCACAGTCTCCCACATCATCTGACGCAAGTGTCCAAACTCTGGCTGGACACAGTGCTGGAGGGGGGCGGGAAGGGGCAGAGGGCATCCTTGAGTGGGGAGCCATTTGTCCTTTGAGTGGGCTGGGCATGAAACGTCCAAAGAGCTGGCAGCCACTTGTCCCCGAGCCTCCAGAGCAGGGAGCTGGGCAGGTGGGGTGTGGGACAGGACAGAGACATTGGGAGCCAGGGCTCTGTGGGGCTGGCCAAGGGGCCTGGCATGAAGCTATGCCCGCCAGAGCCCGAGCTTCCAGAATGAGTTCTGGAAGGCATGGTCTGGAGCCCTGGGGCAGGACGGGCAGCCCATGGGCAATGGCAGGTGACAGAGAAGGATGTGCCTCCTCCCCGCCCCCCCCCCCGTACCCGCAGCCCGGAGGTGGGGAGGGACCTTGTGGCCAGGGCAGCACCCCCTGCCCCCAAGCAGGGGCAGACTTTCCAGATAGGGTTCCCAGCCTTGGCACTGAGACCTGAACTCTGGCTGTTCCCCCACCCCGACTTTCTTCTCCCTGTGTTCACGTCTAAGTGTGGACTTCTGTGCCGTTTTACAAACAAGGAGTGCCCCTTCCAGCCAGAAAAGTTCGCCCCCGCCCTCTTGGCCCCAGAACTCCTTGGTGTCCACAAGAGCCCCAGGCCTGGGGCCTCCACAGAGGCGAAGCACTGTGTCACAGCACACCCCCCCACCCCATCGCCCAGAGGTGCCCAGGGCCTTTGGAGGTGGTGGTGAGCGACTTGGGGGCTGGGAGAGGGCAACGTGTGAAGGCTGCAGCTCAGAAAGGCCCATGTTCCCAGGACTGCCCCACACTCCGGAGCAGCCAAACAGTGCCAGAGGGTCCCTCGCTCTCAGGGAAGGAGTGTCCCATGGCTGCGCCTGTCTCCCCTTGTGGCTCTTGGGGAGCATCAGCCCCGTGGGCCCCCCAGGAGGGCAAGGAGCAGGTGGCATTCTACAGGCAGCTGAGCAAGGCCTGGGCTAGGTTGGAGAGGAGGGGGAGATGAGCCCCCATCCCCCTTTGCCCCCAGACTCCCCTGGCTGCAGCCTGGAGGCGCTCTCCCAGCCCCTGCAGGAGGAGGAGCCGTCCGGCCTGGATCTCCAAGATGTGGAGGAGGTCCAGATCGCCAGAGACACCTGCTGGCCAGGTGGGTGAGCAGAAACCCCATCCGGCCCTGCCCGAGTGCACGTCCCATGGCTGCCGTGTGCCGGGCTCTCCGCAGCACCCCTGCATCGGGCACGACCACTGCCAGGACACCAGCTCATTTGTCCCTGCCTCAGTGCTCACTTCTGTCCTGGAGATGACCCCTACCCAGTTCAGTCCCAGTGTGTCACTGACATTTCCCCAGGCTGTGAGTGCAGCGCAGACCCCTTCCCTGAACCCCAGAGCCGTGGCCGGCCAGCATCTGCTGCTCAGTGGCACTCCGCGGCCAGGGAGTCATCTGGGTCCCCTACCCATCGTGTGGTGCCCTGGGCCTCCACCAGTCCCCTAGTTAAGCTCTGGTTCCCATCCCCTTCCCCCTACAGCCTGGCTGGGGCGGCACTAATCCCACCCCTTGCCACACGCACGCCCTCACACCACCCCATGGAAGCCCTGGGAGCCGGCCCTCCCCACCACAGTGTTAGGAGGGCAGCAGCGGGCCAGGGCAGGAGACGGTGGCCCCCCAGACTCCATCCTGTTCCCGGCAGTGCCCTGAAGTGGCCCCATCCTTGCTGGGAGCCCAGGCGGCCCCTTTTGGAGCAGGGGGCGTGGTCCAGGTGGTTCGGCCGTCACCCCGGGCCCCAGCAGCTAGAGCTGCAGAGCCGGGGTGCGGCGGGGGAGGCCCATGCCCGAGGGGGTGCCATCTGCCCCTCCATGTCTCTTTTCAGACTCGGAGGCAGAGCTGGAGCAGGCCCCGTCGTCCCCCCACCCCCACCACCCTGAAGCCGGGGCGGACCAGGCCGGGGGAGCACTGAGGACCTTTTCCCGTAGACCCCGGTGTGGGGGCCGCTTTGGGCCGGAGTCCAGCTTGGAGCGGCCCGCGGGCCAGCCATTGGGGACCGCGCCCTGCTCCCAGAAGAGGGGCCCGTGGCGCGTGACGCTACTGTCGCAGGGAGCCCCTGGGGCGGTGGGGGAGCCCGAGCGGCCCGGAGAGCTGGAGGGCGGCCGGGGGTCGGGGCCTGGGGTCCGGCAGGGCGGCCCGCGGGGCGGGAAGCCGCACCGCTGCGAGGCCTGCGGCAAGAGCTTCAAGTACCGGTCGCTGCTGCTCAAGCACCAGCGCATCCACACGGGCGAGAAGCCGTACGCGTGCCACGAGTGCGGGAAGCGCTTCCGCGGCTGGTCAGGCTTCATCCAGCACCACCGCATCCACACGGGCGAGAAGCCGTATGAGTGCGGCCAGTGCGGCCGTGCCTTCAGCCACAGCTCGCATTTCACGCAGCACCTGCGGATCCACAACGGCGAGAAGCCCTACAAGTGCGGCGAGTGCGGCCAGGCCTTCAGCCAGAGCTCCAACCTGGTGCGGCACCAGCGGCTGCACACGGGCGAGAAGCCCTACGCCTGCAGCCAGTGCGGCAAGGCCTTCATCTGGAGCTCGGTGCTCATCGAGCACCAGCGCATCCACACCGGCGAGAAGCCCTACGAGTGCGCCGAGTGCGGGAAGGCCTTCCGGGGCCGCTCCCACTTCTTCCGCCACCTGCGGACCCACACGGGCGAGAAGCCCTTCGCCTGCGGCGCCTGCGGCAAGGCCTTCGGCCAGAGCTCCCAGCTCATCCAGCACCAGAGGGTGCACTACCGGGAGTAGCGGGCAGGCGGCCGCGGCAGGAGGGGCCGGGTGGGGGGAGGTTGTGGAGAGAGGGCTCCCGCTCCCCCCTCGCGCCGCGCCGCTATCCCCACACGCCCAGCGGCCCAAATAAATTCTTTTTAACTGATGGAAGTAGGAGTTGCTGCTTCCTGTGTCTGGAGAGGTGTGGCTGGCTTTGGTCTGCGGGGGCCCCTGCCGGGAGGCCTCCTGACTTAACCTGGACCCATAGCCGGGTGTTTCCAGGTGCAGAGAGCCCAAGTGGGGCAGGCGAGGTCAAGTGGTGGCTGCCCAAGACAAGGGCCTTCCTGTCCCTTACCTTGAGCCGTGTGCGAAGTGGCCCAGGCGTCACAGCTGCCTCCAGCCCCCAGAAAAGGTGGGGTTGGGGGGGGCGGGATGTTTGCCTCCTGGCAGGCATACACCCCTGCAGCTGTGGTCCGGCCTTGGCTTTGGCCTTCCTCAGACCTGGCCTGCAGCTCTGACTTCAGCCTGAGGTACCTGAAAGAGCTCAGCCAGGTGGAGAAGCCTGCATGTTCCCGCCCCACCTGCTCCCTCCTGAACACCTCAGGGACCCCACCCCACACTGAGGAGCTGCTCAGCCCCTCCCACGGCTGCAACTCCAAGCTGGGCCTCCCCAGTTCCAAGCCCAAGGGCCTCTGCCTGGACCGCTTTACCTCTCTGGGCCACGCCCCCAAGGCGCCATGGCCACCAAGCACTTTGGACTCCTCACCCTGTGCCCCCACTCAGGGTAAGAGCAGGTGTAGGGGAGAGGAGTAGAAGTCAGGGTCAGGCAGTTTCTGGACCCCAGCTTTGAGACTCCAGACACCTTCTGAGTCATCTTTGCTGGCCTGAAATAGAAGGGAAAGCTGCCTTCTTCCCCCAATACGGCAAGGGTCATGTGGGACCTCGGTGTTCCAACAACCCTGCACACACAGCCCCCAGGGCTTCACGGGGAGCGGGGGTGACAGCCTGTGCACTGGAAGGGTCACCCCACCGCCTCTGTGCCCAGGCTGCACTCGGATGCTGGCACCGTGACCAGACCTGGTAGGCGACCACCAAGAGCGGAACCTGGAGGTCCTCCACACCGCCCTAGACTGTCCCTAGACGCCAGTACCCCACGCACCTCTCTACAAGGACTGGGTGGGGCGGGGCCTGCACAGGTCAGACTGGACCTTTTTGTTCTATTCAGCCCTTCAACTGATTGAATGCGGCCCACCCACATAGGAGAGGGAGCCCCTTTCAGCCTGCTAACTGAAATGTTCACTCCAGAAACAGCTTCACAGACAAACTAGAATAATGTTTGACCAAATGTCTAAGCGCCCCATGGCTTGGTCAAGTTGACACATACAATTCACCACCACAAGCAAGGATAAGAATTGTCCTTAACGCATAGGGTCCGCCTAATTCCTGCGGCTACAGAGGGCCTCTCGCCGTGACGGAGAGCAGCCCCAGACCCGCCTCCTTCTATAGGGGCGAGGAGTCTTCTGAAGCTCAGGCAGCTTGGAAACATCCGGACGTGCGTGACGAAGCTTTGCACGCTGAAAAAAACAGCCGCAGGTTGGAGAGTGGCAGAGAGGACGGTCCCGCGGGGCCGCCGGGCGGGAGGCGCCGCAGAAGGAGCGCATCCCTCCCTCCCCCGGCGCCGCCCGCTCCGTCTGGCGCTCCTAGCGGCGGAGCCTCGCAAGGCGGCACCAGCCCGAGAAGCGGCGTTCGTGGGGCCTGGCGCGGGTGGGGAGGGGGACGGCGGGGGGACGGGAGGCCAGCGGGGAGCGCGGGTGGAGGCGAGGGACAAAACTTAAAGTCTGGTGCCACTAGCATCTGTGTGTTATTCACAAGAGAAATGCTAAAGGCCGCAGTTTAGTCCGTGCTCAGGCGGCCTCAAGCGACACTTTGCCGGAAATCCTCACCCACGTGCAATTCCCCCTGCTGTTCCTGGGCCTCAGACACGAGGCCACAGGGCAGACCGGCGCCCAGTCGGGGCTGGAACCCGCAGTGCGCTCGAGAGACGAGGTGGATGTGCTGGCCGGGAGGGCACGGGCTGGAGCGCGGCGCACTGGAGCGTTTTGGGGTGGTGGGGTGAAGACCTCAGGACCGTCATGAACGCGCCAGCGGCCAGCGCGAGCTCAGGCTAGGTTCAACATCAGAAATTCACACCGGAAAGGAGCCAGTGAGTGGACCAGACATGGCGAAGCCTTTGGTAGGGGACAGTCGGTCGGGGATCAGAGTTGATGTGCAGAGACACCCTCTGAATGTGGTGAATGTGGAGAAGCGCGCTGGCTGATAGCGGAGTCAGGGAGGGGACCGTGGATGCCGGGCTCGGGGACAGGCAGCAGTCATCTGCACCGGCGGGAACCGTGTCGCTGTCACCATGCGGGATACGACCATCACCCAACACTTCTGGCGTCAGAAATACCAGCGAGAGGACCCGCCACACCCCTGCAGCGCGCTGCCACTGTGGAGCCTTCAGACAAAGATCTCGTGCCCCAAACACAGCACCGTTATGAGGGAAGCAGCAGGAGGTGACACTCTACTTCCCTCGTGTTCCGCCGACACCACAGCCGGGGCCCTCGCTGCAAAGGGCCGTGTGCCGCACCCCCACGCTGAGCCCAGCTCGCCTGGGTTGCAGGAGACCAGAGCTGTCTCCTGCCGCTGCTGCAGGCCCCACCAAGACGCCCAAGAGAGGGAGGCTTCTCTACAGTCTGTTCGGCAGTGGACACATTTCAGGCGCTCTCCCCAGCCTCGCCCTCCCTGTTGTTCAGGCTGTACCTCCGCCTTGGGGTAGCTCCATACAGCCCTGTCTTGGCCTTGGACGTCTCACGCTGCGCTCAGCGAATTCTTCTCAGGCACCGGCCTCCCCCAAGACCCCTTGCCTTGTCTTTTCCTGAATCTTATTTCACGGGATGTGCGCACCCAGTGAGGGCCACCAGGTTACACTGGCCGGGGAACGTGCTGGAAAACAGCTCGCCAGGCCCGGTGTAAAGCCGGGAATCTGGGTTTGCTCCCAACACCCCAGGGACAGTGACAGCGCTCCAGCTTGGGACCCTCTGGTCTCATGCGCCCTCAAAGGAGGAGCACCTGTGCGGGCAGGTTGGGCTCAGACCCCGCCTGGCCCGGCCACTGGGACTGCCCGGCACACAGCCCGGCCAGCTGTCCCAGCCGGGGGCTCCGTTCTAAGCACCCGACTCCCTCGGCTGGCCGCAGGGCTCTTGGACTGGCCGCAGCCGTGCACGCGGTGCACTCGCCCCAGTCCGAGTCCAGGCTGCAGCGACGCCGGCCTCGCCGGGCCTTGCCCGCGGCCCTTCCTGCCCGGATCACTCCAAACCCCGCAGACCCGGGAGTCTCCACTCAGATGCTGGCCTCCCGAAGCCCCTCCTACGGCCTTCCGGGCCCTACACGCCAGGTGCCCCCGCTCATCGCCTCCGCGACCGCTGCCGGGAGGCTCCGGCGCCCCTGCAGCCCCGCACCTCGGACAGCTCCCGGCTCGCGTGCCCGCCTCAGGCTCTCTGGCGCCCCCGCGCGGGTCCCCGGGGCAGGTCTCCGAGCTTCCTGGGGCGTCCGGAAGTGCCGGCGGCGCGGGGCGGGACTTCCTGTGGGCGCGGCGCGCGCCTGCGATTCCGGCGGGTAGGGTCGCGGCCTCCTGCGGCCTTGCGTCCTGTGGCCGCCAGGGCCCGCCGGGGCCAGGGCGGCTGGAGCTGCGGGAGGGAGCCGAGGAGGGGCGGCGGCGCGGGCGTCCCCGCTCCGGGGCCCCCTGACTGCTGCTTCGCCGCGGCCCCGGCGTGACGCGCGCGTCCCCACGGCTCGGGCTTGCGGGGCGGTGCCGGCGGCCCGGGGCCCTCGTCGCCCTTCCGGGGGATCCCCGCGCCCCCGACGACGGCAGGAAGCCGAGGCTGCGAGGAGACTTACCCAGCCCCGGCGTGAACCCGGCGCGGGGCTCGCGGGAAGCCGGGCGGAGCCCCAGACGGAGAGCCGCGGTCCGCGCCGCACGGGGACCTCCGAGGGGACAGCTGCCCACGTGTGCCCGCGGACTCCCGGCCCTTTCCTGGGTCTCAGGCAGGGGATGTCCTCTGTCCAGACCCTCCCGCGCCGGCCTGGGAGGCGGGTGCTGTGACCCCGGCCCAGGGCCTCCCGGCAGGCCACCCCGCCTCGTGTGTGCAGCAGCCCTGCAAGGCCGCCGTCCCTCGCTCAGCGCACGGGACCCTCCAGCTGCCCCGGTGAGCACCCCCGGCTCGCAGGGCCGCAGCCAGCCCGCGGAGGGTCGGCGGTGAGCCACACCTGGAACAGACGGAGGGACCTGCAGGCACAAGGGGCAGATCGCTTCCCTGGACCGCGACCCACTCGTCCGCCCAGCAGCACCCTCCGCCGGCCCCGCCTGGGAGAGGGCACACTTCACATCTCTGAAAGGCCTGGACACTGTCCACAGTCCCTACCCTTGAACGGCCCTCAAGCGTCTTTAAAATCCTTGGAAGTGTGTTCGTGGATTCGGGTTTTCCCTTGCGGGCCCCTCCTGAGCCTGAGCCTGTCCATGTTGTCGCCGCGGGGCCACCTCACGGTTTCCTGGCCCCGAACTTGGAGAGCTTCCCCAAGCTGCATGGCTGCTGTGGGACACAGGAGACGGAATTTTCCCGAGATGGAGTGGTTAACATTTTTAATTTCTTTATCAGCGTGTAATTTAACATACTTAAAACTCCCCCACCTCCAGTGTCCTGTCCCTGTGGGGGCCTGGCCTCAGCTCGCCGGCCTCACCTGAGCATGCAGCGCCACTCGCGCGCACCCTCAGACGGGCCCCCTGGGCAGCGACCCGCGGCTCCGGGTCAGCGTCCTGCCCGCAGACCATCCAGCCAGACCTGTCAGAGGTGGGGCTTCCCAGGCTGGGCCGCAGGGCTCCCCTCGCGGCTCGCCATTCTTCATGATCTTGATCTGCATGCTTTTGGCGGTTTGAGGGAAAGAAGTCAGTAAAAAGCAGTTATCTTTGAGCGGAAGTTCTAGTTTATTTTTCGGAAAGGTAAGCAGATCCTACATATTTTCAGCGACATTGCTCTGTCGCACTAGCACCGAGCCAGCCTGAGGCACACGAAACACAAGCTGCAGGGGCACCTTTCCAGTCCGACACAGGGCGCGGACACCCTCCT